TCTTTTACTGCAATATTGTCATATTGATATATTGTCGATTTTAGATAACTTGTAATAATAATATTTCCGGAGTCAACATAGAGATTTAATCTATTCAGTTCTTTTATTTTGTGAATCAAAACTGAAATTGGTGAACGAAGCATTAGGGATTCTCGACACCTTACTGTTTTCTTCAACAAAAATCTCAAAAACTCTCATTTTTCCTTAATTCAATTTTCTCTAACGCTCTTATTCTATTAGTCTTTCTTGTTATTTTATTATCTCTCTTTGGATACGACCGCCCTTCTGTGCTACAATTGACCGCTTGTGAATATCACTTTTGGGCGTTAATTAGCTGGCATCGCAAGCGTGGGACCCACGCCAAAGAGAGCTTGGACACGCTGGAGATCGCGCGGAGGAAGAGCGAGAGCGTCTGCCCTGGGATGTTTGCGTGCTGGTGACGCGTGCGAGGTGGAGTGGGGAAGGCAGGAGAGCTGGGGCCCACACGGAAATCGACTTATGGCTTCGGCTCACGCGCCTCCCTCTCTAAATGGCTTAGATTGGTTGAAAATATGGCTTTCATGGCTTCTTCTTTTGTAGCTTTTTCTACTGCTTTTATATGTAAATAATTAAGTAAAAACTAGACAAATTTCAATTAAAAATATTATGAATAAAAATAATAGAATTGTTTAATTAAAGCTTAAATATTTTAATATTATATAAATCAAAAGCAGTATTTATGGTGCATTTTCATGCACTTATCATGAAGCACTAGCTAAATTTCTAACTAGTGTCGAATTACCTCTTTCTTTTGCAGATGATGCGGCGTTCGAAGAATTCATACAAACGGCCTTCTGCCCACAATTTAAACGGGTAAATAGAAACACAACTCATTCTGATTGCATGAAAGTGTTTTATGTAATGAGACAATCTCTAGTTGATAATTTTAGATCTTTTAATGCTACTGTATCTTGTACTTCTGATCTATGGGAGAGGTGCAATAAAACTGGATATTTATGTGTCACGGCGCATTATGTTGACGATGAATGA